GATAGGTTTTCTGGTAAAGCAGAAGACGCCGCTGCCGTATCAGAAAGACGCATGTTTTGGGTTGGATCATTCAGACCTCCAGCACAGCAATGGAGGTGATGGTGGTGGCGTGTGGGTGCGATTAAGCGAAGTAAACCTTGCCTATAACATATTTTAGACTTTTGTATAACTGATGATACTAGTAGATACTGTTATAAGTTGCTGTAAACTGTAATAAGTTATTATGTAACCGTCTCAGGCACCAACTTGCCTCCGGAGAGAAGTAGTCTTTTAAATTGGCTTCGAGGGGAACACGCCGATGTCGTCGGAAAGTGACCTTTCCCAACAAACTTCCAAATGCAGCAACGGAAGCTTCATTCCCCAATGCTCACTTTAGTCAGCAAAGATATGCGGCAAAATCGCTCAAGTTGCCAACTGCAACGCAAGAGAATCATTCCGAATACCAAGCGCCGCAGGAATATGGCTGTTTGGAGAGCTCTGGCCCCCGCATCATGGAGAGAAGGATTCCAGTGCCTGTAATCTGGGTTCGACAGAGCCTGCGCACAGCAGCATCTTGGCTAGAACGCTTGTGAGGGTGTGCAACTCTGCAGTCGGAACAACATGTGGCCTAGGCTTTGCGGCATCTCCACTTCATCAAGAACACGCACTGGTAGACCTCCTGGCGCAACCTCATGACCCCCAACCTCCATGACGTATATTGGCTCGACACCAGGAAGAACGACGTCCACATGCATGACATCCTCATGACAGCCGCGAAGACAGCCATGTTGAGCATTAGCGAGTTTACATCAAGATCCTGGAATGCGATTGACACTGGGAGCTGGTTGGCCGCTGCGAGCTTCAAAAGCCCACCGCTGTAGCACTCAGATTCTCATTTCAGCCCCGCCAATGTCGAAAAACTGTTTGCGGCAACTGGGGTCGGCACTCGGATGCCAGCCCCACAGGCATCCACTTTGGAAGTTCTGGAGAAGTACCTTCGAAGCCCCTTGGCTCTACAAGGGCTCAACATGACTTAATAGGCATGTAGCATGCATGTACTCTTGCAACCATTGGAATCTTGTGTTGCTGCTTCACGCTCCAGCGCCTTGAAACACTCACCAAGCTCTGTTGGTCTGAGTCGAGCCTGTGGACAGGCAGATAATATATCTTGTTATGTTATGTCATATTACATCATATTACATTATGTTATATGCTGTAGGTTTCTGCCGCTTACGGCTTTGGGATTCGGGCTTCGTCTTTTGCGAACAGCTAGTCAGTGACACTCAGCTTGGTCGCTTGCAGGACTTTACCAGCCAAACAGATGGAGGTGAGTTGGATTTCAATTGGCAAATGGCCGAAAGCCATCTCTGCTGCCCGCAGATTGCATGCCAATTTGCAGTCGAATTGTTCCAGTATCGAAACCGACATACTATCATACCAATACAGAACCTCCGCTATCGGTGCGACACAGGTGTGAAAAAAGCTTGGGTTCAGCGTCTGATCTATGCTCGCGCCGTAAGAATAGGGCTTTGGGGTATATTGAAATACAAAAATGTACAGACTTTAAGCGGAGTTGATGGGACCGGCTACTTCTTCAAACCCCTCTGTTGTCGTTTACGTAGGGTTTAACAATCCTGGCCAAGAGGTCGTAGCTCTCTTCGCACACCAAGGCAGGCCTCTGGGCCATGCCCCAGCCGATATTTGTCTAGCACATGTACTGTAGCATAACATATTGTAATAAACTACTGTATCATATAATATCACATAAAATAATATAATACAACATAATCTAACCTAGCCTACTATAGTATAACATTATAGCATAAGATCAGAGCATGCAAGGCAGCAGAACATATCCAGTCCGAACACAACTATATATACTTACGAAATGATGTGGTGTAGTACAGTATATATGATATGATATAGTACAAAAGAATATAATGTACTATAACATAATGTAGTATAGTAAAGTGTCGTAGAACTTAGTACACTATAGTATAATATAACCGAATATGATCAGAAAGTATATGGGTTCCTGCCCTCCCTGGCGGATAGGCCTCACTGGCTCGCGTGGGACGAAGGTCCCATCTTCGGCGGCCCAGCCAGCAGCGTCGAGGTACTGCAAGGCGATAGGCATCAAAGCACCAAGCCCCAAATCTCTAAACCCAAGGCTCAGGGTTCAAGATTGAGGGGTAGAACCCACGAGGAATTCGAAGAGTGACGTCGACGCATTAGCGAAACACAGTGCCTCTGTGCCTAGCTGAAAAGCTTCCAGGTAAGGCTCAAGGTCATGTTGCTGGGTCCAGGCTCTAAGCTAAGGTTTAACTAAGCTAAAGTTTAATCAGCGTTTAGACGTAAGGCTTCGCGGTGTCTACACTGCCTACACCTCAAGAAACGACTTAAAAGAGGAGGCTCCTGTACCACCCCAAGCTGCCGCATGAGAGATCATGAGAGGAGCCCACACTTTAGCAGCGAGGTCCAAAACGGAGCTTTACCAGTAGCTCAGGGAGTCAGATTTTCCAAAGCTTACGGTTTGTGGTTGGGAATTTAGGGTGGCTGTGAGTGGTGCAAAGGGCATTGCAGAAGAGTGAGACTTTACCAGCCTCTGTGGTGTCCATGAACATGCGCAAAAGACTTCCAACCTCAGCATGCGAGATCCCAAGTGCATGTGTGTGTGTGTGTATACATATA